ATGTCGTTTAAAAACTGACAGCAGTTGCTAAGGTGGCTGAACATTTGCATTTCTATAACTTAAAAATTCCAAAACCATTAAAATGGAGTCAGCCTGTCTAGAAAACCCCATTAGTAATGACCAGCTTGGAGGATGTGTGATGAGACTATCACCTTACCCATTCACAAACCATCCAGCCAATCACCTGCACACTCACCTGGCTCAGGAACAAGCATTAAATATAATCACTATGGAAAAGGGACTCTGACTGAGAAAGGAAGTCATCCAGTCATAATCTCATCACGTTTAAGTCATGGAAATGGATTTAGCTTGCTCTGACCATATTTGAATAACTGGTCAGTTGGTGATAAGAGAATCATATGAGTCAAATAACCCTCTTTTGTGTTTAATAAATTACTTTTATCCAGGACACAGAGCAAGGAGTGACACTGAAGAAACAGGGCCCTGAATGGATGCAGTCCCTATCTCACCATCCTGAATCTTGAACTTTATCTCTTGTTCAACTCTCCACATTCCACAGGCATTATTTTAAGAATCTCTGCAGTCTCCAGAAAAAAGGTGATTCATCTGTCAACATCTTTACAGCATTTCAAAGCTGAATCCCATCAATTGGCCATCAAATGGAGTCTCAAATAATTCAAGTTGATAAATGTAGAAGATTCATATAACATTGACTTTTATTGTATTTTTAAAGCCAGTTTACATCTCCACCCACTTATGCGCTTGTGTGAAGCTTTGAATGTGTGCATGTGTGGCAGTCAGAGTATTGTTATGATTTTACTTCAATTGAGTGTTAAGTACAGTAAATACAATTCCACTTTGTTTAACAATATACAAATAGACCTGTCTCTTTGTGTATGTTATTGTTACTGCTTAGATTCTTTTAAAAAAGACCTTTTGTGGTCAAACACGGTTTGGGAAGAGAAAGGAGCCTTTCTACGCTTCTTTGGCTGATTGTAACACATAATATATTTAAAAGTCCACAAGAATACCTGATAGCCTTGTTTTATTCATTCAAATCAAGTTCCTCCTCCATAATCTTTTGCAACAAGCTTAATTTCTGATCTCCACAATAACCTTTGTTGTTCACTTCTGGGAGGTCAATTATATCCTTTATAATAAGGTCTTTGGAACTGCAGTCCTGTAGTTGGAGTTTGTCCAGTGTAGGAAAATATATTAACAAATGGCAGAATGCTCCAAATCGTGGTGTGATGATAAGAGATGGTAACCCAACTTACTTACAGAGCTATTGAACTTTTAAGTAGAACATGTGTTTTTAATAGAAAGGGGGACTTACAAGCCAAAAACTAGCTGAAGATGTAAATTCAGTGGCTGTCTAAAATACCATTGTGGATAACACAGAGTTCTAAGATGAATCATGAAATGTGAAGGTTGTCAAGGGAACTTCAGACAGCAACGTCTCAAAGGGAGTGAAAAAAAACTGAACTATGGCCTCTCGTGTTGTGAACCAGACTGCACACATGATCAGTTGAAAGAAATACAAATCTTTGTGAAAGACATAGTTGTGTTTTACCATTCCAGAGATGCACAAGAAAGGAGGCTAAAAAAAAGCACAACTGCAACCCCTAGTCTTTGTGTCTCATATGCTAGGGAATGGATGTGCTGGTGTCGGGTGTGTGAGCTTGCAGTTCAAGTTGCATTCTGCTAAAGTGTGCTGTGAAGGTACACGGACAAGAACTTCCTGCAGGCAGCCTTGCATGTGAGGTAAAAGGAAATAAAGCTTTTCATTGTCCAAATGTTGAAAACAAGTCCTCAGCAAAGTCACTGTTGAGGAAACCTAGACAAATGCCTTTCAGCTAACTGCAGACTAAGAATATCTAAACCTCTGCTCAACAGCAAAGTCAGCACCATTACAATCACCCACCTTAACTGTCACAATGTTGCACAACTTATTCGTCACAGGCAAGCCAAGGACTGATTCAGCATTTTTTACTTTTACATTGTTGACTCACCTCTCATTTCCTCATTATTCTGTGTATGTGTGTCACATTTTGTATCTTTCCTCATTTATTAGGCACAAATAAATTCATTATTGCTTTAACTCAAAAGACTTTTCACCAGATTTGGGACCAAGTTAGCAATGTGATATGTTTTGTGCAAAGTGTTTATGGGATGAGGATCAAAAGGTTTTTGCTAGGGTGAAAGACAGGAGATAAAAACAGAAAATGCTGGAGAAACTGAGCAGGTCTGGCAGCATTTGTGGAGAGAAACAGAATTAACATTTTGAGTTTGATATGACTTGGTTCTGAAGAAGAGTCATATCAGACTTGAAACTCTGTTTCTGCTGCCACAGTCGCTGAGATTCTCCAGCATTGTCTGTGTTTGTTTCAATGTTTTGCTTTTATCATTATGAAAGACAGTAGAAGTTGAATGACAGAAGATTTAGTTTTTCAGTGCTAAAGGGAGTGGAGATGAAACAAGAAAGTGAGAAACAAAAGATGACCTGGAGAAAGTGTTAACACAGTGTGGAGTTGGAGGAGCATGCTGCCTGGCCTGCTGTGTTCCTCCAGCTTTACACGGTGTTATCTCTGACTCCAGCATTGGCAGTTCTTACTACCTCTGGAGAAAGTGTGCTGCTAAATGAATTTTTTAAAAAAAGTCAAGGAAACAGAGTGGGACAGAGATTGTCATTAATGTGTTCTTGTCCGTCTTGTTTTTCATTCTATCAGAGATCTGCCTTTTGGCTTCAATTCATCCAGCTTTTGATCAACACATGTCATTTATTTCCAGTTCTGATGAAATTCCATAGATTTTAAAGGTTACCTCTGTGTCTTGCTCCACAGATGCTATCTATCCTGCTGAGTTTTTTTTTTCAGCATTTTCCTTTTTTATTTCAGGAAAATTATCTGCCTTTTTTTGTATTTTATTATTTTACAAATTGTAAAAAAAAGATATTTGGTCTGATTGTCTTGAAGAGGAAGCCTGCACTACTGCATAAATGCTGCCCCCTCCACACTTCACATTGGCTTTGATGAAGAGTCATCTAGACCGGAAACATGAGCTTGCTCTCTCTCATTGGATGCTGCCTGACCTGCTGTGATCTCCAGCAATTTTTTGTTTTCTGTATTGATTCATGTCTGGAGTAGAGATCAAAAAATTGCATCTTGTGCTGATCAGATTGGGATTATCAGATAATGAGCATTGGGATCCCAGTAATTGTTTGAACTAGTTCTACTGCCTGAGGGGTCAGAGGAGATTGGGCAGTCGGGCAGGACGAGGTAAGCAGGGTGGAAGTGATATACAAAATATTTGATCATGATGCTTCAGTCATTGAGTGCATTGTAGGCTAATGAGCTAGTGGGTTATTCTTACCTGTGGCTGCCAGATGTGTGAACATTGAGAAGTAAAGGCTCTGCGATTGAGACCATCAACCTTCAACTTTATCCCAGTTACTGTCCCTTCATCACTAACCCAACGCAGATATGGCATTTCTCCCGAGTTTCATATTTATCGATTGAAGTCAGAACGTTGTTCCTAAGGGTGTTTATTGACCTGAATATTTCTTACAACATTTAATTCACAAACTTGCTGTTATGTGACGTGACGAAGGAACAGCGCTCCAAAAACTTGTGACTTTGCCAGCAGTCGGTTTATTGAATGTCTATCGCTGGCGTTGCTGGTGTTTCCCTGTGGTCGGAGTGGCATTCCAGCCGGGCCCATCGTGTGAGTGACGCCGGGGTTTGTTCAGTCAATGTGGAGAATCTCTCCCCTCTCGGAGTCTCCTGGAGCAGCTCCAGACAATGCCCCTGCCCCCAGTCAGAGCTCTCCTGCCTCACGCTGTGAAACCTGTTCCATTTCAACCTCAATGAACCTCCAGGACAGGCAGGATCGCTATACTGCCCTGTTCACACCTCAGGTTAAAATCCCACAGCCGATATTGTGCTGGGAGCTGAGGGGCGGGGATGCCTGGAATCTGCAATTGGCTTGAGTCCGATCGGGCTAGGAAGGGGAATGGCCAGGACCTCGGCTTTCCCCAGACCGTTACATGGTGATCTGGCTGGGGTTGAGCTGTTTGTGTTTCCAGCCCCCGCGATATCAGCGCTCCGTCTGCTCACTGAGGGCACATGGGGAACACCGGGATGCAGAAAGGGACGAACAGGGAGGATAGTGCAAGTCATAGGGGCCAGGCTGGGCCCCGGGGGACAATATTTCTAGGTGAAGTCTCCAGCTTTAAACCACACAGTGAGGTTCAGGGTTTCCCAACTTCTAACCGATTATAAGGGTTTCCTCAGAGTTGTAATGGACAATTATACAAACAGCCAGCAGCGAGGTTTTCATGTTGATGTTTCGGGGCACTGGGTAAATCTTCACATCAGCCTCACTCCCCAACCCCCTCCGCTAGCTCCCCGTTTTCGTTCACTTCTCAGAATAACTGCTTCCTGGTGAATTTTGTGAGGAAATATCTTGGAAACTGGTGAGGTTGTATAAAGATTGTGCATTGCTGTGTAACCAGCTCGGTTCCTGAGCGCAGCCTGAGCTCTGGCAGAGGGAGATGTGAACTCGAACCTACCCCTGGCCCCCTGAAGCTTCACTCATTTCCCACGGGCAGCCGTCCGCCGACACTTCTCAATGGCCAAAGGCAGCGCGCTTCCCCCTGGCACCCTGCCGCATCTAACCCCATCGACCAGTGACCCCGCCCGGAGCCCGAATTCACCCCGGCAACCGGGGGGGGGGCATTGAGGGGAGGTTTTGGGGAAACTGGAGGGGGCTCTTTTGGAGTTGGAGGGGTTTCTGTAGCTGTTGGAGGGATGGGGGGGTGGTATCCATCTCTCCCCTCACCCCACCCCCTTCACTGCCGCTGGGAGCGGTATGTGCCCGGGGCTGCCCGGGGCTTGGAATCACCGAGCGGTCCCGTCTCCTCCCGGAGTCTGCAGGCGGCGGCTCTCACTTTCCCCTGGGCCTGACTAACCACCTCCTCCCGGGTCGGAGCAGCACCGGGTCCGGGCTATTCAGCAAAGCGGGGTGGGCTGATGGTGGTGGGGGAGCATAGAGAAATAGACAGAGCGACAGAGAACAGAAACGGACAGAGATACAATAGGGGCACAGCCAGAGACACAGTGAGAGAGAGACAGAGAGTGAGAGACACACAGAGAGAGAGAGATACATAGTGAAAGAGCTGACACCCCCTCCCCTCCCCTCCCCCACACTCGGGCCGGGGGCGGTCGCCGCTGCCGCACAGGAAGACTCCAGCACAGTGACGTGCGAATAAGATCTCTCTCTCTCTCTCTCTCTGTGTCTCTGCAACCAACCTAGAGCAGCTGGAGTTCACCGCCACTGCCAGTGAGCTCGAAGCCCACAGACGAAAGGATTAGCTGGGCGCTCTGTCCAGGGGGAAGGGGCTTTGCTGAAGGTGCACGGAGGGCTCACCCTGGGCCATAGACCGTGTCTGCAGCTCCGTAACCCCGGCTCTCCGCTTACTCCTGGCCGCCATGTCCCAGATCCTACCTTACAATGAGGAGAAGATTGCGCATTATGGTGAGGAGGTGGGTCAGATCTCCTTCACCTGCCGCCTGCAGGACACCAACAACTACTTCGGAGCAGGCCAGAACAAACGGGCGCCCAAACTGGGTCAGATTGGGAGAAGCAAGCGGGGTAAGTGAGGGCTGAATAAGCTCAGGATCCAGGCAGCTCTCTTCTTGTCTGGGATTTAAATCATTTTCAATTCTTGTTTTTTTTTATTGTATACCCGTGAGAAAGAAATTGTTCTGTCTAGCGTCAATACTCAAACAATGCAACGATCTGCGTTTCTCAGGGTTAATTCCTGGGGTCTGTTTTATTGGGCGGGGGGAATATTTACTTCAAACCGTGAATTCCTCGATCGCTTTTAATTCTGCAGCAAATCGTTTTGCATTGAGTGTCTGTGTGAATGTGTGTGTGAGACAGTGTGTTGTAGGGGTGGGGGGGAAGGGAGTGTGCGGTTCTGCACAGGCGATATTGCTGTGGACGCCTCTGTACACACTGTGTGTGTGAGAGAGAGAAAGTGAGTGTGAGGGAGTGTGTGTGTGAGTGCGAGAGAGTGAGTGTTAGAGAGTGTTGTGGAGGGAGGGGGAGGGGAGTGTGCGGTTCTGCACAGGCGATATTTCTGTGGACGCTTCTGTACACACTGTGCGTGTGCATGAGAGAGAGTGTGAGTGTGAGGGAGTGTGTGAGATGGGGGGGAGGGGAGTGTGCGGTTCTGCACAGGCGATATTGCTGTGGACGCCTCTGTACACACAGTGTGTGTGAGTGTGACAGAGTGTGAGAGTGTGAGAGAGTTGATGGTTGGGGGAGTGTGCGGTTCTGCACAGGCGATATTGCTGTGGACGCCTCTCTACACTGTGTGTGTGTGAGAGAGAGTGTGTTGAGTATGTGGGTGTGTGTGTATGAGTGGGTATGTGAGTGATTGTGTGTGTATGAGTGAGTGTGTGAATGATTGAATGAGTGGGTATGTCTATGTGTGTAAGTGAGTGTGTGTGTCCATATTTGCAAATTCTAAACCCGCTACCAACGCCTTGGGCTTTATTGCACATGTACAATGAATGAACAGTAACTGTTCCCAACAGCTCTACATCAGTCAGATTCCCAATTGGTGCCAGTTTTATTGTCATGTATCCCGCTGCCTTTGAACAGTACCTAGACTCGGTTTTTAAAAGAAACCATGAATTGTTTTTTTTTCTGCATTGCAGTTGTCATCGAAGATGACAGAATTGACGATGTGCTGAAAAATATGAGCGAGAAGTCCCCTCCGGGTGTTTAAAAATGCCGAAAGAGTGTGTCGATCAACAACACACAAAAAAACATTCAAACAAGTCCCACCTTTTCGTTGGCGAGAAAAGCACTTTGAGACGCAGAACTAACCTTTACTTATAAAAGCTGTGATACACAATGCTAAAAAAAACTAACTATTGTATCTGACGCTGGGAGGCAAAGTGTGAGGCCAGGTCCGAGAGAGAGTTAAGGAGTGAGTAATGTTGGTCCAAAATTGAACCTTCCAAGGCAATGTGCAAGAATGACTTGTTCTTGACCGCTCAGAGCATCATGGAATGTGCAGATGTCAGGGCAAGCCGGAAAAGAAGCGGGAGAACGATGTAGCAAGCACATACTGTCTATTGATCAAACCTTTGTATTGTATTGCCAGCAGCTATCTTGTTATGAATGGAGCACTTTGTTTACATTATCTTGCGAATACTGTAATTCTGTGCACTTTGGATGTAAAATATTATTTTTATTCTCTTTTATTGCAGTGTTGGGAATTGTTTAAGACAAAAACATTTTATAGGAATGGAGAAATATTGTTTCATTTTGAGTTCAAACTTGTGTGCAGCTTGATTTGATTTCTTGTTGCAATATACTGCGGCCTGCTGCGTTGAAAGTGAGATCTTTTCTATTTTAGGATTTATAAACCATAAATGTATCCTACAGTGAGATCGATAGGAGATGTTTTGTTATCGTGGCAGTAATATACTTTCTATATTGTATGAAGCATCATCACGACAGTGCCAAATATTTCGAGAACGCCAAAAAGGCAACCAGTTTCTCTCTGCTCTCCGTGAATGTATTCAGTAACGCTACTTGGCTGCCATTTTTTATGTTAAAGGACTAAGTTATTATTTGGTGAATTTCTTGTTCTGCATGATAATATATAAAATGCCTCGTGTGAGGCCGTCTATAAATCATTATAGATCTTGTCTGCAACTTTGAATGACAGACCTCAAGATTTTTTTTCTCTGAATTGAATCTATGAATATCTGTTGCACCTCTTTCCTCTACAGGGCTATTCCGCAAAGTATTAATAAAAGGTAAAAGCTTTCTATCGTCTCTCGCTCTCTCTCTTAAGTTTGCTAAATGTTGCTGGCTTGTGGAGTATTACTGACAGTTACTGAGCTTGCAATCATATTGATCGGGTTGTCGAATAAGTGATTAATCGTTCGGTCCTACCGCAATCAGTTGCTTTGACTAGAAATCATTATTTTAGAGAGAGGAATTCACAAAAGTTGTGCAAATAATGTGTAACACGGAGCTGCTAGAGTAGGAGAGTTTCCTGCTTCAAATCAATTCAATCCGGTTAGCGGTTAAAATGTCACATTAAACCTTGGCACAAAAGCAAGAGGGCTATGAAATAAACTGTTCACAAAACCGCGCAGGCAGCTTTCCAATTCAGTTTACAGTTTTAGAATACAGTCAGTGTTCGAAAGCAGACCAGGAGCTATTTGTTGACATTTTAATTCCTTTCCAAAACAGTTCCTCAGACAGAAACGGATGTATATTGTGAACTAAAGCCTGTTTTCACTGATACTGCAATAAACGCCTCCCTTAATCGCCACAGGTTATTTGAATAATATAATCCTCTGGGCTGCCCCCGAATGTGAGCGAGATGTTTCTGATCTCTGTCATTATCTTTCATCACCATCTCATTAGTTCGAGGCTGTGAAGATGAGATGGATGTGTGGGTGATAAACCGACACTGGTTTATGTTTAGCAGAACATCCGTCTGTGGCAGAGAGGGGCGAATGTGCCACAAAACCTAAAGAGTATCTTTCCCACGCATTTTTACAAAAACAGTTTATGTTGGAAGTTTGGAATCTATAAATTCTGCATTTTTCCCCGGAGTACTCACTGCAGCTCACGTTCGCTGAAGGCAAGAGGAACCCTGAATTCAAATCCCTCTCTCTCTGCTACAATGAGTTTGGAGAATGCAGTTTATAGTGAAATTAGAGACTAATTATTTGGAGACAAAAATTACCATTGACAGATTAGCTAATTTCTTAAAATGTGAGTGTGACCTCGATGGAATGCAGATTTTTTTTGTCCTTTGATGTGAAAGAACGGAAGGTCAGAGCCGTTTGGGTTTGTTGATTCCACAATAATCCGGGAGCACCAGCTCCGTTTATTAAATCCAGTCATATCGTCCCTGATAAACAGCACGGATTGTGGGAGCCCCTGGAGGGGGTGAGGAACTGATCCAAAGATGGAGTTAGTGGCCTGTGATTTGTGCAACACTAAAATGAAACAAAGGACTGCTGGACATCCAAAACAAAAGCAGAAATCACTGGAGAAACTCAGCAGGTCTGGCAGCATCTGTGGAGAGGGAATCAGAGTTAACGTTTCGAGTACAGTGACCCTTCCGCAGAGCGGGTCCGCTATTGGTGAATAAATTCAGGTGGTGGGAGGGTTCTTGAATCACCCTTTAGAAAGGGGTTGTCAGGGCTATCTAGTGTTTAGATGTGGTTTGCAGAAATGGTCGAAGAAAGGGGAGTTTCTACGAGTTGTGACGACGGAAAATTTTGAAATCTTAGCTCAACCCTCTCACTGATTCTCGAATGAATTTTAGAGTGGGGGAGAGTCTAGTTCGTTATAAGATTATATTTGTGTTAATATTCGAGACAAGCAGCTCTGCATAATCATAAAGCGTCAGTGGCTATCCTTTCAGTGGAATTTAATACAAACCAGGGGCGAACATTATAATGAATCGGAAACAAAATTAATTTCGATTCACACCAGTACGTGCTTATATTATACTCACTAACAGTTCCAGTTTGAATCTGTCTACACCAGCTCTGGGATCTTGTTTGTTCTAATCCAAAGGCAAGTAATTCCGAGGCAATGCTTTTCTCAGGCACCATCCCGGGCGGAATAGTGCCTTAACCTTCCCAAATGAGGGAAAAATAAACATGCACTTTATGGACCATTTTTCAATGACCAGCTTTAAGTGGATATTTGAAACAAATCCTGGTTGGAAAAGGATCAGCACAATGAGGTGTGACATTTTCAGATGTAATCCAGGCTGAACTGATAAATACTCGGCAGAAATAATGGGGCATCTCCTAACCATTAGTTCCACGAAACACGTGATCCATATCTGATAAAATTGAATCAAAGCAAACGACAAAAGCGAAATCAATCCGTGACCACATTTACTCGGTAGAGTGAAACATTCGCCAAGGTCCAAACTCTACAATCAGAGCTTTCCAGAAATGGGCTGACAAGTGGCAAGTGACATTCATGCCACACAAATGCCAGGCTATGACCATCACCAATAAGAGACAATCTAACCACCGTCCCTTGACGTTCAATAGCGTTACCATCACTGAATCCCCCACTATCAGCATCCTGGGGGTTACCATTGACCAGAAACTCAACTGGACTCACCACATTAACACAGTGGCTACAAGCGCAGGTCAGAAGCTGTGAAAAATGCAGCAAGTAACTCACCTCCAGACTCCCCAAAGACTGTCCACCGTCTACAAGGCACAAGTCAGGAGTATGATGGAATACTCCCCACTTGCCTGGATGAATGCAGCTCCAAAAACACTCAAGAAGCTCAACACTATACAGGACAAAGCAGCCTGCTTGATTGGCACCACATCCACAAGTATCCACTCCCTCCACCACCGACGCTCAGTAGCAGCAGTGTGTACTATCTACAAGACGCACTGCAGAATTCACCAAAGATCCTCAAACAGCACCTTCCAAACCCACGACCACTTCCATCTAGAAGGACAAGGACAGCAGATACATGGGAACACTATCACCTCCAAGTTCCCCTCCAAGCCATTCGCCATCCTGACTTGGAAATATATCGCCATTCCTTCACTGTCGCTGGGTCAGAATCCTGGAATTCCCCCCTAAGGGCATTGTGGGTCAACCCACAGCAGGAGGACTGCAGCAGTTCAAGAAGGCAGCTCACCACCACCTTCTCAAGGCCAACTAGGGACGGGTAACAAATGCTGGCCCAGCCAGCAACACCCACATCCCACAAATGAATAGAAAAAATATACATCAGTACAAAGCAAAATATGCAGAGAACGGAGATCTGAAAAAAGTGCTGGAGAAACTCAGCAGGTGATCAGTGATTGTGCAGAGAGAAACAGAGTTCATGTTCTGAGTCACTGCCCTTTCAGGACAGGCGGGATTTTAAATGATAAAAAAAAGACATCAGCCATTAGTCTGTAGCCCATCATAGGCTCTTCCACAAATTTCCTGGCCCGAGTGTTTTTGAAGCTAGAGCAGATGGGAGTGTTTACTGGATTTAGAGAGATTTTCTCTTATTGGAAGAAACAGCGAGTGCATGAACTGGCCCCCAAACCCAAAAGCGCCCGGAGACTGGAGACCTCAGGCTGCTATCCTTTAGCGGACCAGCTGTCATCTCTGTCTCACCCAGGAAGAGATTGATTTAGCGGATTGTCATCCCTGGGTACCTTTTAGAGGGCAGAATGGCCTGGAGACTTCTCCGTGCACAGATGGACGTGTGAATTAGGAATGAGGGTAGGACCTTCGGCCCCTCCAGCCTGATGTAGCATCTGATCGCTCCACATTTCCTGCCCTAAACCTCGACCTCCAGCCAGACTCCAGGACACCTTCTGGTCTATTGACAGCCCTCCCCGCCAGTTAGATTTACACTGGACCCTCATGGAGCACCCCTCACCTCTGCATTCTCCTAGAGCACCCCTAGGCGCCATCTGAATTCCCTCGGAACTCCCAATCCCAGATCTCATCGGCTCCCCGTCCCTTACAGGACCGCAACCCCCATTCGCCGGCTCCCTCTCCCATTCACCCAAACACTGCCGGGACCCCCATCTTTACCGCTCCCCCTGGACTCTGCCGGGACGCCTCAGACTCTCGGGACTCCCTTGGATCTCCCCACCACCCCAACCCC